TCCCTTGCTGAAGCTTGGATGAGTTCTTGGCCTCAACAACTTCCTGTGGCAGGGAGTTCCACAGTCCAAACCACAACCAGCTGAGTGCGTGGTCCTAGGGCGAGCAGAGCTGTTTTGTGATTGAATTCAAGGGAAACAGTCCCCAGAAAGAGAGAAAAAAACAAACCAAAAACAAGATTCATGCTTTTTTAAAAAATGAGCCGGGGAGGAGAGGGAAGGGGAGGAATAAAGCCAAAAATACAATAAATCAAAGGAAGCGGAAGATCCGAAAGGGGAAACGTTCTTATGCAGACAGAGGGTCCCCTGTGCTACCTTTTACAGATGGGAAACTGAGGCAGGGGGTAGCTCAAGTGATTTGCCCAAGGTCACACAGGGCATCTGTAGCAGAGCTGAGTACAGAACCGAGATCTCTGTGCCGGCCCCACTCCCAGGGCCACCATGGCTCCGTCTCGGCTGACTGCGTCGCAGGGCTGGGGCTGTGCTCAAAGCAGGGAGCTGTAGAGTAAAGGGTCTTTGTAGCATCTGTTCAGTCCTTGAGGGGGCCACTTAGGGATCTGGGGCAAAATCAGTACTTGGTCCTGCTAGCGAAGGCAGGGGGCTGGACTCGATGACCTTTCAGGGTCCCTTCCAGTTCTAGGAGATAGGTACCCCAAGCCTAGATTCCTAGATTCCAAGGCCAGACGGGACCATTGTGACCGCCCAGGAGCGGCGCCAGGGTTTTTGGCGCCCTAGGAGGGGGTCCTTCCGCGCTCCCGGTCGGCAGCGGCAATTCTGCGATGGGGGGGGTCCTTCCGCGCTCCCGGTCTTCGAGGCACTTTGACGGCGGGTCCCGGAGCGAGTGAAGGACCTGCCGCAGAATTGCCGCCGAAGACCCGGAGCATGGAAGGACCCCCCGCCGCCGAATTGCTGCCGAGGGTGGCAAAATGCCGCCCCCCCCAAATCCTGGTGTCCTAGGCAACCGCCTAGGTCGCCTAAATGGAAGCGCCGGCCCTATGACCGCCCCTATAACAGAGGCCAGAGAACGGCCCTAAAGTAATGCCTGGAGCAGAGCTTTTAGAAAAACATCCCGTCCCGATAGAAAAATGGTCAGTGAAGGAAAATCCACCACGACCCTTAGTAACCCGTCCCAATGGTTAATTGCAGTCACTGGTCGAAATGCCCACGCCTTAGTTCTAGGCTGAATTTGTCGAGCTTCACCTTCCAGCCACTGGGTCACAGGACACATTTCTCTGCGAGGCTGAAGAGCTGCTAGCAGATATCTGTTCCCCCGGTAGGTACTTACCGACTGAGCTCACTTCGTGGAGCTCCTTGAGTCTGTCACTATCACAGACCAGAAGAGCTCTGGGTAGGGCGACCAGATGGCAAGCGTGAAAAACTGGAGCACTTTTCTTTTGGGGGGGGTCTAGCTGTGTATATAAGACAAAGCCCCTAATATGAGGACGGTCCCAATAACCCCAGGACGTCTGGTCACCCTGGCTCTGTGTGGTGCGAAAGCTCGTCTCTTTGGCCAACAGAAGTTGGTCCGATACAAGATAATACCTTGCCCACCTTGTCCCCTCTATCCCCCTAGGGCAGGTTTTCTAATCCAGGGGCTCTCAACTCTTCCAGATGACTGGCCCCCTTTCAGGAGTCAGACGTGTCTTGTGTACCCCAAGTTTCACCTCCCTTAAAAACGACTTGCTTACAAAATCGGACATAAAACTACAAATGTGACCCAGCACCCTAGTCCTGACAAATTGCCGACTTTCTCATTTCGTCTGGGTGAAAGTTGAGTTTGTACTGACTTCGCTAGTGCTTTTTACGTAGCCTGTTGTAAAACTAGGCCAATATCTAGATGAGTTGATGTACCCCCGGAAGACCTCTGTGTGCCCCCAGGGGTACATAAGAACATAAGAATGGCCCTGTGATGAAGTGGGAATGTTCTTAATGTTTTCTCCAAATACTGTGTGTGTGCCTCAGTTTCCCCTATGCCTTTCTTAGGTATCTAGGTGGTGGGATAAGGGGGTGTGATTGTTGCAGAGCCCTAGGCAGGTGTGATGCTGTCTGCACAGAGAATGAGCCATGCCTCCTGGCAACTGATGGCCTGGGCCCCTCCCCTGCAAAGGTGCCAACTGAAGGTGTTAGAGAACAAAGAGATCAGGTGACTTCCTGGCCCGGGAAAGAGACAAAGGCCAGAGGAGGGGCTGGAGGGGGGGTCAGTTGAGATCTGGCTGGGGAAACGGAGGGAGGCCCAGAACCGGGATCTGGGCTCCCTACCCCCCAAGATGGACCTGACTGAGGGGTCGTTCTCTGTACCTACAAGCTCTGTTTTAGACTCTGTTCCTGTCGTCTAATAAACCTTCTGTGTTCCCGGCTGGCTGAGAGTCACGTCTGACTGCAGAGTTGGGGGGCAGGACCCTCTGGCTTCCCCAGGACCCCGCCCGGGCGGACTCGCTGCGGGAAGCGCACGGAGGGGCAGAGAATGCTGAATGCTCCAAGGTCAGACCCAGGAAGGTGGAAGCTGTGGAAGCTTTTTGCCCTGGAGCCAGTCTGCTCCGAGAGAGGAGACTCCCCAGAGTCCTGCCTGGCTTCGTAGGGAACAGTTCCAGAGCGTCGCCCGGGGACTCCCTGACAGGCCCTACTGGGTCAGACCAAAGGTCCATCTAGCCCAGTATCCTGTCTTCCAACAGGGGCCAATGCCGATGCCCCAGAGGGAATGAACAGAACAGGTAATCATCAAGTGATCCATCCCCTGTCGCCCATTCCCAGCTTCTGGCAAACAGTAACCCCAGTTGAGAACCGCTCCTCCGATCCTTTATCATTCTCCTGCTTCTTCGCTGGCCCCTCTCCAATTTCTCAATATCCTCTTGAATTGTAGACTCCAGAGCAGGACCCAGGATTCCAGCCGCGGCCGCACCAGTGCCAAACACAGACGTAATTTATCCTCCCTGTGCCTACTTCTGCATCCAAGGATCGCATGAGCCCTTCTAGACACAGCCTCACCCCGTACCAGGGCGACTTGCCCCTTAAAGGGCGGGCGGATCTGGGGCTAGCTGAACTACTGAGGCACCCCTGGGCTGGATTGGGTGATTCCTATGAAGGGCAGCAGGTGGCTGGAGTGCAGGGCAGGAAGAAGATGGGGGCTGAAGACCCTGACACGAGGGGGTTGGACCCTTAGGCCAGGAATCTGGCTCCAGCCAAAGCAGGAGGGCCTGGGGCAGGGTGAATTGGAGACTGCCGGGCATGGGCACGCTCCAGCCGAAAGGCCTGAGCTCTGGGGATCCCCTCGTGAGGCCGCAGGCAGGGAAAGCATGGGAGGACCCGAGGGGAGGCTCACACCAGGGGGGCCATCCTGGGACTCTGCGGTTCCTTCCGGAGCAAAGGGCTGGGGGGAGTGCGAGGCAGTCCCTGGTGGAGTTTGGAAGAAACTAATAGGGCACTGCAGAGCCACCCCTGGCCATGAGGGGGGGCCCTGGACGCAGGGGACCCCACTTCGGCTGTATTGAAATGCACTTGTGCCCAGTAACCCGGCTTGCTCCGTGTCTCTGACCCATCCTCTTCGCCCCCCTGCTCCCCCATCTCTGGGCCCTCTGCAAACTGCCAGGGAGGAGTGACTGTTTCCTCCCGGGTCATTCATGAAATAGCACAGGGCCAGGAGCCCACTGGAAACACCCCGTCACCACTGGCTCCCCGTTTACACCTACAGCGGGAGACCCGAGTCACGGGAGAGGGGGGTCATTTGTTTTCTTTCGTTAGTGGCCCAGACAAGCTTCTGAGCTCCCCCGAGCGCCTCCTGAGGTCTGAGGAAGGGAACCAGAGCGTCCCAGCGAAATACAAGCTGGGCCAGGCCGTCCCAGGCGTGAGCCCCGTCTGCCTGATCTGGCCCACCTTGTATTTCGCTCGCCTGCTCTGGTTCCCTTCCCCGCCCTAGAGAAGAGTTTGGGGAAACCCGAAGCTTGTCCACGTCAGCAGGGCTCCGCTAAAAGACGTTCCCTTCCCCCCCTCGTCTCTCGGATACCCTGGCACCAACGTGGCTACCACACGGCGAGCAGGGCGAGCCCTAGCACTTCGACAGTTTTTAATCCATGTAAGCCACCAGCACAGATCAGAGCAGCCCCAAGGCCTGCCCCAAGTGATAACTGGCAGTCTGGGCCCCCACAAGCCCGAGGAAGGCCCCACAGGCCTGCTGCAGGAGGGGGGGTAGAGCTGGATGCATGGGGTATTGCCCTTTGCGCCGAACTAGCTAGTAAACAGCCCCCTGAGCTTTCTGGGGCACTGGTCCCCTATCTTACGAGCGCTTTGTTTAGAGCAGCAGCAGATGGCTCAGCCGTGCCTCCCCTGAGCCCTCTGAGCTGACACCCCTAGGGGGCGCTGCGTGTGCCTGGGAGCAGGGGCCATCGGGGAGCCCGGGCCGTGGCCCCAGAGCGGGGAAAGGCCCCGTTTCTCGCACTGGCTCGTGACCGACTGTCTCCAAACACTTTGGAGGCCAGTGGCAGCCACCTGATGGGGAGCTGGCAAGCAGCCCTGCCCCACGGGTTAAATGATCCTGAAAGAGAACCGCAAAACCGACTGATCACCCGGCCAAGCAGTGATGGGCGGCCACTGCTGGGCCGGGGCCTGGCAGCTGCTCAAAGGAACACAGCAACGCTGCCTAGCCGTTCAGGACAGGAAGCGACGGGGAATCTTGTTTCAAGGGGATGGAAGGAGCGAGAATGGAATTGCCTGAGTTGGAATTTGGCCAAGACATTGGGATTAACTGTCTGTCTGTCGAATGAGCCCATCGCCAGCCACGGCACCCTCTAATTTCCAGGCGAGTCAGAACACTATGGAAGGCAAGACACGTGAAAGGCCATTCGCTCAGGGAAGGCCCCGGCCAACACACCAGTGCTAAATATCCAGGTTTGGGAACAAGCGCACCACGGCATGCCAGTAAAGTGACCAGGAAGCAAAGGAAACCGTTTTATCCCCAGCACGGGCAATAATTAACCTGTGGAACTCACTGCTGGGCAGGGGGGGGTTACCTTGAAGCCTCTGGATCTGTTTGGTGAAGATCTCGGCCTGCCGGGCGCTGGCCAGTCGCTCGTCCTCCAACAAGCCTGCAGCAGAGAGGGCGAGGTCAGCAGAGAGCGCGCGGAGGCCCTGCTCCTGCACCCGCCCTGCCATGCTGATCAGAGGGACGGGGCTGCAGGCCCCCAGGGCCTCAGCTGGGCCACGGTGCACAGGGAGGGACGTCCCTGGGGGACATGAGTCCAGCTGAGCACTCCACAGGGGAGAGGGAGAATCACCCCCAGCCGCCCTGCGAGCGAGCGTCTGGAGAGAGGCAGAAGGGACATGGGAAGAACAAGGACAGCTGGATCTCTGGGCCCCTCGCTGGAGGGGCTGGGAGTCCTGCGTGGACCCCAGCCCGCCCAAGGGAATGGGAAAGCACATGGCACCGAGGGAGCCGTGCATAGGAACCTGTGCAAGCACAAGCCCCCCGTGCCCCACAGTGCTCACGAGAGATCACAAGACCCCCTGGCGCCCCATGCATGGGGACTTGAGAGAACATGACAGAGACTTGGTGAGGCCACACCTGGAGTATTGCGTCCAGTTTTGGGCCCCCCGCTACAGAAGGGATGTGGACATATTGGAGAGAGTCCAGCGGAGGGCAACGAAAATGATGAGGGGGCTGGAGCACATGACTTATGAGGAGAGGCTGAGGGAACTGGAGTTATTTAGTCTGCAGAAGAGAAGAGTGAGGGGGGATTTGATAGCTGCCTTCAACTACCTGAAGGGGGGTTCCAAAGAGGATGGAGCTCGGCTGTTCACAGTGGTGGCA